GGTAAGAATGCGCGTATGTGATGGGTAGTGATTACTACATCCCACGCAAAATGCTATCGATATCAGTTCTCTAAGAGACAATTATCAGCGCGTCACCTCCGAGTAATTGCCCCCACCGTAATCCAGCTGCATTTCTCAATGCTTTAACAAGTCAAGGGAGCTCGAAACCATTCATTTGAACTGAGTGACCCGTTGCACCCTAGTATTATCTGTGTCAGGTTTACTAACCGAACATAACAAGGTCCCCCTTACCGCTACTAGGTGATTGACTTCGTGACTTGGAGTATGCAGATGATATTGTCTTAATTTGCGTCCGCTCACCAACGTGCTGGTCTGCACTGGACGTCATATGTGTTGAGCTTTGATCCACACTCTCAAAATGAAAATCTTTTCTACAAAATTAGCAGGGACCACTTCCTGCTCTGACGCTTGGCGGGGATTATCATCATCATCAGTACATGTTAGCTGAGGGCAATAAATACATCTCAGCAAGAAGTTGTTCAGAAATTCAACTGCCTGAGCAACTGTATCAGCACATGTGAAACAGAAAATGAAATGACAATCCGTAGTATTCAAAGCTAGAGACGCTCTTACTCAAGCTCGCCACTCTTGGCGCCGAGGCGACATCACTCTCACCCAGAAGGTTGGAGTGTAATGACGTCCGTTCAACGCTACTATACGGTTGTGAAACTTAGCCCATCAAATCTACAGACATAAAGTGGCTGGTTTCCTTCGACCACCGGTGCCTTCACAGATTAATTCATGTCTGGTGAGAATGCCGAGAGCAATGAGGGTGTTGGACATTGTTTATGACACAAGAAGAGCAAGTGAAATGCTCAGCACCATTATTGTACACATTAGACTCCGATGGCTTAGTTGTGTATTACGCATGAGAGCACACGGAGTACCGCGGCGCGCGTCCTTTGCGCGACCTGGGTCTGGATAGAAGAAAAAGGGAGGCCAATCGATGACTTCATCAAGAAAAATGAAGGCTCAGACTTCGAATTTGGCCTCGGTTGGAGCCTCTGAAGTTCATTTGCCTCTCCCCATCCCACTTAGTCTTCCCTTTAACACAGAGCTCATTATGGGCGCACAATAATAAAAAGTGTAATATTAATGGTTTCAATTTGTACTTTGTACCACATACTGCTTTGTGTTCTCTTTTCGAATATGTTGCTCTATCATATCGTGACATAGTAGCTGAGGTATTTCACATCTCCAACCAACGTGAATGATGGTTAGAAGCGTTCATGTGGGCTCCCAAAGACTCGATCACTTATAGAGACGGAAGATATAATTGTCGTACCAACATTCTGCATTCACTCAACTGGCTTTTGTATACAAAGCAGCATGACTAGCTGTCTTGCATTCCAGCTCATATGCTCAGTTTTGGATTAGTAAAGGGTGCGCTCCTACCTACAAGTTAGTCTGTTCATTGTGATATCCATGTTCAACACATCTATTTACTGCCACAAGATTTCCACGGTTCGTTGAGTGATCAGACAAATTCGACACCGATCTCGATGCATGACGCCATTAAGTGATGGATCTGTTGGTTACAAAAGTCTAACGATCTCTAAAAACGAGTAATCATCAGCATCATCATCAACAGCAGTACATCAGCCATCTGAACTGATGCTTCGCTGCCACACAACCATGAGGACATATGAAATAAAGAATAAGAAGAGGGAGAGAAGAGAAGAGAGGGGGACTTACCTGAAAACCTTAATGCCCTAAGCAAACATGCAGGGTCAAGGCGCCTACACCTTGTGTAGATAACATTCCGTCACAAACAGCTGGCTATCGTGCAAAGATAAGGCGGCATCAGCAAGACAGCTTTCTTGCGGCTTTCACTACTCCGCATCATAATCAGCCATTACCCGGCAGATACTCAGCATCAAACACACCTTAAACAGACAATCTGATTAGGAGACGGCAGCAGACGCGCCACTGGTGTCTACTGCAAGCCATGTCCTGTAAAATCTCGAGCCAAGCACAAGGCGAGTCACGTGGACTCCAACCCGGAAGGCGAGACGGACCAACGGCACTCAGTTTGGTCGTCAGTGACTTCATTTCCCGCTGCCAAGTCAACTTCTGTCCACCGCGAGTCTTGCGCCACCCTACACCTGGCAGACTAAACAAAGCCCTCCTAGGTAAGCGGTGACCAGGCATGCGTAGCACGTGCCCGAGCAAACGCAACTTATTCAGTGCTATCTGTTGTTCTAGGGAGTTAGCATGATTATCATTACCTAGTATTCGCCCACGCACATCATCGTTGCGGACACGCTGGTGCCATCCGACACCAGCAATGCTTCGCAGACAACGATGATCAAAGACTTGAAGGCGCTTCAGCTCTTCAGACCGAAAGGGCCAAGTCTCACTACCATACAACAGAACGGCCCTCACTGTGGCCTTGTATACCCAGCCTTTCAGACGATAGGAAACTCCCTTCTGTCTCCAAAGGTGCCGCAGGGTCAAGAAGGTAGCTCTGGCTTTTGCAATGCGTGAGCTGACGTCAGTTACTATGCGCCCATCATTGCTGACGCAGCTGCCAAGATAAGTGAAATGATAAACCACCTCGAGTTCCTCGTTAGCAAGCGTCAACGGGTCATCAAGTGGCTGGTGGTACTGCAGCAACCCTTTGCACTTTGCTTCTGAAGAGCTTAGACGCCCTACTTGTGCGTTCATATCCCCTGCAAGTCCTGTAATATCTGAACTAGTAGCACTGCGTAATAGCGCATTCAGTTCGTGATAGAATGTGTCCTTGACAACATCTGAACTGCAGTCGGTGGGAGCATAAGCGGAAATCCCAAACAAAAAGCGTTTGTACTACTTCGTGAATCAACCTTAGCTGATGCCGTCAAACGGGCTGCACATAAACGGCTGTTCACCGGAACCCGATCAACCAACAATGGCTCAGCCTTAGAGCTGAGAATGATACCTACACCAGCTTGACCCGTGAGTGCTGCATCGGCGTCTCCGGATGCGTGCAACCAATAACGAGAGGATAAGCCGGGTGCAGTTAATTCAATAACCCCGTTAGGGTCATTGATCCTAGTTTCGGACACACAACACACATCAATACCCAGTGTGTCCAAGGTGCGTGCGAATGCAGCCTGTTGACCTGTTTGTCTTAGAGTGCGAACCTTAAATGTCGCCATGGAAAATGGATAGCGTGGCCTTATAAGGGACTTTTGCCGATAGGTGCTGTGGGATGGTGGGTGCAGATAGTTCTACTCCAGTGGCATTTTGGTTACTGTCAATTAAGCTGGGAATTACAGAAGGAAGGTTAGTAATGGGGATCGGGACGGGAGCAAGAGAAACAGGTGGAAAAGAAAGAAGGGAGGCGCCAGCAGTAGCATGTTTTCGCTTATCCGCCCCGCTGTATGCAGCAGATAAGGCGACCCTTGATAATCTGCGCGACGGCCGATGCAGGATGAAATTTATGTTTGAAGAAAATGTCATGGTTGTATGTGGGCTGAGATACTGCAAGGGCGCCCAGACCTAGACAAGAGGACGATTAGGGTCCTCATCCAAAGCCTTTGGCTCAAAAGCCTGTCCGCAAAGGCAGCGGAGAGGTGGCAATGATTTAGTTTTACAGAAATGGACGCCATCCCATTTCAAACTCCCAACCTGGAGGACCAGGAGACTGAGCTTGTCCGACCTCTCACCATTGACCAACCTGGTAGGAGCAGCTCTCAAGGTGCCCGGAGGCATCATCCGGTATAGCTCAATGGGGCAATGAGGTACGTAAACCGTCGCACCACGTTAAGGTACAGTCTCGTTGCGACGGGTACAGTCTGGTGATCAGGGCAATCTGAACATACGTGTTAACGTCATCTACCATAGGTTCAATAAACATGCCTTCGAAAGTAAAACCTATGAAAGCGAAAGTTAGCTTTCTCAATCCCTACGTATGCTCCAAGAATGAAGCTTTTGTTCGATGGCCCAAGGACACAAGTGAACAACTGTGGACAAAGCAGCGATAAATTCGGATAACGCATCAAGTGACCAACAAAGTAATGTGATTATCCCCATCTTTCAACAAACGAATATGATGATGATGCTTTGCGCGGTACCTTTATGACTGGATCACAGCCAAACGGTACTCAATCGAAAATCCTGGGACAGACAATTCGGAAGTTTAAACTAGTATACACTGGAGTAGGGTAGTTGAAAATTGTCATAAAACAGCCGGTTTCCTAAAAAAACTGAAGTCCTTCCCTACTTTGTCGAACCGTAGCCTCAAGTTAACAAGCTTAACTTGTAATCTGACGGCGCGGGTTCGAGCCTGCGCAGGGCAGGCGGCCCTCGCAGTATTCTAGCCCACATGTGACTGGTGGTGGTTGCGCAGCAGCGAAGCGTAGGTACTGCGTACTAGCGTACTGCTGATGCTTCATTCTTTTTGCTTTCTTCCCTACTCTTCGACTAACTGTGTACACTTTTCAGGACACACATTTTATATTGCCACTCACACAGCTGAAACTGAACCCATCTTGTCGGCCATACATGAAAAACCAGCAGTACACCGGTAGGCAGTACTGACGCTACACTGTAACGTAACCACAAGTAGTCGCATGTTGGCTAAGGAAACTGCGAGGGTCGCTAAGTCCCCTACGCGGGCTCGAAACTGCGACATCAGATCACACGGCAGGCTTATGATCCTTAAGGCCACGAGCTTCGGCCATACCTATGCAAACCTGCTAATTTGGTGGCTATCCCCCTACTCTCTAGAAAGCGCCCCGCTCCAAAAGGAACTGGCAGAGGCACATTCATTAAGTACAGAGAGAGCGGATGAGTCCAATTGCTATGTCACCACATATGCGAACTATTGAGTAGGACAAGAAGCAGCATTCAGTATACTTCTATTAGCCATTAAACAAACCAAGACTTCACCAAGAGAACTTCACTAAGGAAAGTACAAAAAAATCAAGGGAGAGGACGGTTGATGGCAAATCGGCTCAAAAAAGAGGATGCAGACTGAGAAAATGAAAACCAACCTCGTCATTGCTGACTGGAACATCCATATGTAGCAGATTGGCAACCTCATATAATGCCTCCTGTCGTTTGGCCTCCAAAGACAACATGAGATCTTGAACGGACTTCAGCTCTTCATCCACACGCACAGAGAGTTTCTTCAAATCGCCAACCGATAATGGCTAAACAGTCGGAGAATTTGAGGCTCTACTTACAGAAGCATGATCTTCATCGAGCGACTGAAGGGTATCGAGAAGATGAGAATATAGACCATCGGGTGACACAACACCACTTTCTCTTGTCTAATCGTAGTTGCAGAATTTGAAATTCAATTACCTTGAATTTTTTCGCGATTACTTTGCTGCATACATTTTTGGCTTTATTGAGTTGATCAAGCGAGAACCGAGCTTCAAACTAGACAGCTAACAAAAAACAACTAACCTTTGCGCCATTGCTCGTCAAATCTAATAACATCATCGACTCTTTTTGGGTCTCTAAAGCGTCTTCGCTCACTGTCCTTGATGACTTCCGGGTTACCACCCTTTTCTACGCGGAATAAGTCTATATCCAGCACCATACTGTGGCGTACAATGGTCCAAGCAAGAAATGGAGCAGTTCAAATAAGCTGAAAAAGAGGAAAGTATGTACTCTTGAGTTCTAATGACACTTCAATTTGCTACTGAAGACGATCATAGGGAGAATGCGGGTAGCGTAACAAACGTATATATATATATATATATATATATATATATATATATATATATATATATATATATATATATATATATATATATATATGGTTGGCGGCATCCGGTTTCGGATTTGTCTGTCACTGTGGCAAGCCACAGGACGCCTGTGCCTACAGAGGGACCATGGATGACTTGCACTGCACCACCCACAGCTCCAACCACACACCCCATATCCAGTGTAAACCCGAAGGAATAAGACCGGGAGGCATGCGGATGGGAACCACGTTTCATCAACGGAGCCGGCCCACACTCTTTCACAGGCAAACACAAGCACGCTGTATTTGGGGAATCAACCGCACACAAGGAGGTGGCTGAACCGTAGTCCGCTCCACACTGAGTGCATGGAACCGCTCTTTGAGCCTAGCACGGCCACAAGAACCGTGCACCCCGTCCCCTCCAGCAACGACCAACTGTCTCCTGGAGCCAGTATGAATGATGTAGTGGGTAATAGACAGGTAGGCACCTTGTCAACATACACATCAAGCGCAACCACACCGGGGATATCAAACAACATCCATTCACTTTAAACGACAAGCTGAAATAAAATAAATCCAATAATGCATACAGATACGGTGGCATAACTTTTCGCTAAATTACCATATGAAGTAAGTTGGTTAGCAACAAATCCGTGATAAGTAAGAAAGGTCCACAAGTTACTTAAAAATGCTACAAACGCAACAAAATTACCGAAGATAAGCGCAATTAGTGTAAGCAACGTGACCAGTTAATAGAACATTATTCAGGGAGGCAGAACAAACCAAATAAAGCGGAATGAAATTTATCCTGCTTAAAAAGACCTAGTTTAAGTGTAAGTTGGTTTAGCCCAACTGCGGTGAAGAAGCATCAAGAATGCAACATCAGCCTCAGCATGGGGCAGAGAGAGAGAGAGAGGAGACATCGAGCCATCTAGAAGCCATGGAATGAAGGTGTATAATAAGTGCAAAGATTAGAAGAAAAACACGCAGAAAATTCTTCTGCTTTTCACACGCCGTTTTATCCTTTGTTGTCGGTTCAGATATTACGGTGTTGATCATTAGAATCAATACAAAGAATCAGGCATGCCTCCCATTGCCCACGATTATGCGCCATGTCCCCAAGCATCTACAACCATTGATGTTTTTCATTTCGGACTCTCCAGTCCTGAGGATGTACGGGACCAACAGCAAAGCTTGAAGTCAGCGCCTTAAGGTTTTGTCGCCAAGTGGTAGGTTGATCACCTCGTGATTTTTTTCCAGTGCGGCCCTGCACAAGCGAATAGAGCACGCCGTGGTAAACACCCACACAGCATGTTCTGCATAGATTCTATCCATACCCCATGAATATCATCTGTTAAACCGCCGTTTTGATTATAACTTCAATCTATACTTCTGAAAAACGGAGTCTACCGGGCAGGCTAAAAGAACACTGTTAGAACCATAACCTTCAGATGCAGGCATTTTGCAGTCCATTCCCTCTACTATTGGCCTCATAGTTCTCCGCTTTTTATCTATGTTGAACATTCGCCAAACAAAATTGGTAACACTGGTAGCCCAACAGCATAAAGAACCAGGTCTTTTCTTATAGCTGTTTATGCCATCTTAACACTGCATTCTGATATGCTCGCTGCAGGTGAAATATTAAACGACATTATGCACGAAGTCAGCGATCGCATAAGTCGTGCCAATAACGCTGTCGTATTCAACGTACCTGACAAAATGCCGCTTAACAAAGTGTTGCATGCCCTTCTCAATGATTGTATACTATCACTTGATTGCTATTCAGCCACTCGCCAAAGTAAGATCCCTGGCCGATCCTGCCCAATAGTCATGAAATTTAGCAATTCCGAGATGGCTAAATGATTCATTGACGTCAGATATGACCTGAATCAGCACTCTAATCGCGGGCCAATTCTGATAAAACCAGACAGAACCCCGCTGCAAAGATCTACAGTACAATTTCTCAGAGTAAAGTGGCCAGAGTCCCAACTCACAAATACGCAACAAAGTGCAATCGCTACCGTCTCTTCCTCGATGCTGTGTGACGTTGATCTGGATTCCTCACAACGACAGACTGCGATGCAAAAAAAACCTCAAAAAACAAATGGCATACAAAAAATATCGTCGCCAAGTCTGTGCTATCAGCTGAAACCTGTAACGTTGTCGTAGACACGACCGAATATAGTACACAGCCGGTTGATATGCCTGACATGTGTGATATAAACTCTGAACTTGAGAGTGTGGGCTTCCTATCATCACATACTTTAGTAGCCAGTGTTGTTAACGACCCCACGCAACTCTCTATCGACACAACGCCAGAGAACAGCAACTCAAAGTGACGGTGTTGCACAGCTCTCACTCATCGGCTTCCACAGAATCGATATCAGTACAGCAAACGGACTATACGCAGACGTTCTGATATGGCTAAAGAATACTCAGACAGTAGCAGAAATACCACGCCCCCAGATAGTTCGCCTGTACACAACAGGACCATTACTTCCTCATTTCGGACCGAAGTCTACTGCCAAACAAGCGCAGCCTCATCGCAGGAACTAGCTACTCAAAACTCAAAACTCTCAATAAAGCACTTCCGGATTCCCAAAAACCCCGATACACCACCGACCGCGTCAAACCAAAACCTCTGCAAATGCAAACGGTGGTTAGTACACGTACTGCTCCGGCATATCGAGCGTTACCCGAGATTGCTGCTCCGACCAGGACTAGCCAGATATTCAGAAAACCATTTCTACTCGAACCACTAAATCACACTGCTCAAAATCCAACTTATCAACATCAGTCCAAAGCACACGGATATAAGGCGCCCGGCCGAAGTCGACAGTCTGTTGCTGTTGTCAACTCGATTACCAGCATGAATAGCACAGCTCCTTTTACTCCTACTAATCGCTCTCCCGCAGCAGGACTTCTTCAGAATGTCAGGTCGCCCAGAAGTATCACACAAACTGTAGGCCCCTATTTATGGAATATGACAGGGCATGGTCCACCACGCCCAATTCTCCAAGAGCTCGCGCCTTCTCTGTATCAACTTTAAAGACTCATATATTCATTACAGCCAACCCGAAACGGCTGGTTCCAGCCCTACGCGTAACCCCCATGGACCTCAAACCTACAACTGACTCATGGGCGGCCGGCTGCTATCAATTTAACACTCCGCCGCCCCCGGAACACATATCCGCAACACTTGCCTCACCTTTCCCACACTACTGCAGAATCTGGCGACAAAACGACAGGACGCTGCGGAAACGAGTCGCATACATTCTTCCTCCTCAATGCACGATGGATTAAAAATAAAATGCTCTTCCTAGGCCCCTTCATTCTTCTGACACGCCGCATCTGGTGCTGATAACAGAAACGTGGCAATCGGCCGATGCTTCTGATAGACCACTTCACATTCCAGGGCACACCACTTTCTATAATGGACGTGCCAATCACAGTGGTGACGAATGCCATATATACGTCAAGAACGAGTTTCATACATCTTTCCAAACCATGTCTCCTGGCAATTCTGAAGATTCAGAGTGGATTCAGGCCGTTGGAGATCAACTTGACCTCTTGATAGGATGTTTATACAACCCGCTGCACTCCCCTTGTGCTAACGTTAACAAAATGGTCAAGCAATTCTAGGAAGTCTCATCCCTTCCTGCACGCTATAAAACTATTGCTGGAGATTTCAATATGCCTCATGTCTCGTGGCTTAGTCAGTCAGCCCCACCCAAGTATAGGGCTTGGTAGATACTATTTACACACATGACTGGACTCAGCATGTGAATGCACCGACTAGACAAGCTAAGATACTGAAGCTAATATTCACTAACGGCATTTCGCACGCATGCACCAGCGTACGAGATAACATACCGGGCAGCGGGCACAAGGTGGTGAAGCTGTCTTTTGCGCTGCTTAAATTCCATCACCATGAAGTCAAAAATAGGGCGTATTTCGGCTCCTCAAGCGCATCAACTGGGAAACATTTTCCTCCCTTTTCTGAGCATCAACCTGCGACGACTTCCTCTCCAACAATATAGATATTGCGATCAGCGAGTTGTATAACGATTTCGCGAACTGCTTAGATGTCCTTGCGGCTAAAAAGAGAAACATAAGGAGTCAGACTCTTGATGATGCCTCCACATACAAACTGGCTAGTAGGCTTAAGAAAATGCGCTCCCGCTACAAGAAGACCAAATACTTTCATTTAATCATCCGTAAGAACGAATTACTGGTCGACTGCAGTTCACAAAGTAATGCAAGTAGATCAGCTGAGCGCGCAGCGCTTTGCACCGACAATAACGCAGTCTCTTATCCGACCAATGAAGCAGCGGGGTGTCAGGAAAGATATGCCGATTGCTACCCTTGTGCTTCCTGATAAAAAGATAGTTACTAGTGCAGTCGATCTATGCGACTTCATTAATACGCACTTCTGTAACTCTTTCACCAGCAATGAGTCGGTATTGTCAACTACGCTTCTTAAGTTCACTGATGATTAAATACACACTGTTGAATTTGACTTAAACAACATCAAGCGAGTACTTTGCACGTTGCAACTGTCACACTAGCCAGATCCTGGTGGTGTTCCCGCTTCCGTATTAGGACTTGGAGACACGGACATTTTAGTACTTCTCCTCAATTGCTTCACTATTTCTATGAAGAGCGAACACTACCCGTTTAAATGGAAGCACGCAACCGTCATATCACGACACATACGAGGTTGTCGCC